CACGTGCCAGATTACCACAGTAAAAGTAAAGCTACCCTAGAAACACGTGCCAGATTACCACAGTAAAAGTAAAGCTACCCTAGAAACACGTGCCAGATTACCACAGTAAAAGTAAAGCTACCCTAGAAACACGTGCCAGATTACCACAGTAAAAGTAAAGCTACCCTAGAAACACGTGCCAGATTACCACAGTAAAAGTAAAGCTACCCTAGAAACACGTGCCAGATTACCACAGTAAAAGTAAAGCTACCCTAGAAACACGTGCCAGATTACCACAGTAAAAGTAAAGCTACCCTAGAAACACGTGCCAGATTACCACAGTAAAAGTAAAGCTACCCTAGAAACACGTGCCAGATTTTGAGGGATTTGAAAGGTTCTCAAGCTTACCCACAGAAAATAAAATGATCTCTTCTTTTCTCTCAACAAAAGTATTTGTAAAATAGTACTAGAATAGGATGGTATGACTTACTGCAATGTACTTTGTGTTGTTCCAGTTCTTGGTTTGGTCAGACAGGTCACAGGCAGTCATCAGTAGACACAGGAGAATGTGTTTGTGTTTGGGGTTGTTTCTGTCATAGCTGTCACCTGGTGGACATTAAGATAAGGTTAGCATCACTTGTATGTGATAAATGACCAAAGTGGTCTATCTTATATGTGATAAATGACCAAAGTGGTCTATCTTATAGATCTATGTGATAAATGACCAAAGTGGTCCATCTTATATGTGATAAATGATTGAAGTGGTCTATCTTATATGTGAGAAATGGCCGAAGTGGTCTATCTTATAGATCTATGTGAGAAATGACCGAAGTGGTCTATCTTATATGTGATAAATGACCAAAGTGGTCTATCATATATGTGATAAATGACCAAAGTGGTCTATCATATATGTGATAAATGACCAAAGTGGTCTATCATATATGTGATAAATGACCAGTGGTCTATCATATATGTGATAAATGACCAAAGTGGTCTATCATATATGTGATAAATGACCAAAGTGGTCTATCATATATGTGATAAATGACCAAAGTGGTCTGATACAAATATAACGAGAATAGGGTGAGAATACTATTTTGAACTGATTGATGTAATGGTAGAATGTAAATGTTTTGATTGATGTAATGGTAGAATGTAAATGTTTTGATTGATGTAATGGTAGAATGTAAATGTTTTGATTGATGTAATGGTAGAATGTAAATGTTTTGATTGATGTAATGGTAGAATGTAAATGTTTTGATTGATGTAATGGTAGAATGTAAATGTTTTGATTGATGTAATGGTAGAATGTAAATGTTTTGATTGATGTAATGGTAGAATGTAAATGTTTTGATTGATGTAATGGTAGAATGTAAATGTTTTGATTGATGTAATGGTAGAATGTAAATGTTTTGATTGATGTAATGGTAGAATGTAAATGTTTTGATTGATGTAATGGTAGAATGTAAATGTTTTGATTGATGTAATGGTAGAATGTAAATGTTTTGATTGATGTAATGGTAGAATGTAAATGTTTTGATTGATGTAATGGTAGAATGTAAATGTTTTGATTGATGTAATGGTAGAATGTAAATGTTTTGATTGATGTAATGGTAGAATGTAAATGTTTTGATTGATGTAATGGTAGAATGTAAATGTTTTGATTGATGTAATGGTAGAATGTAAATGTTTTGATTGATGTAATGGTAGAATGTAAATGTTTTGATTGATGTAATGGTAGAATGTAAATGTTTTGATTGATGTAATGGTAGAATGTAAATGTTTTGATTGATGTAATGGTAGAATGTAAATGTTTTGATTGATGTAATGGTAGAATGTAAATGTTTTGATTGATGTAATGGTAGAATGTAAATGTTTTGATTGATGTAATGGTAGAATGTAAATGTTTTGATTGATGTAATGGTAGAATGTAAATGTTTTGATTGATGTAATGGTAGAATGTAAATGTTTTGATTGATGTAATGGTAGAATGTAAATGTTTTGATTGATGTAATGGTAGAATGTAAATGTTTTGATTGATGTAATGGTAGAATGTAAATGTTTTGATTGATGTAATGGTAGAATGTAAATGTTTTGATTGATGTAATGGTAGAATGTAAATGTTTTGATTGATGTAATGGTAGAATGTAAATGTTTTGATTGATGTAATGGTAGAATGTAAATGTTTTGATTGATGTAATGGTAGAATGTAAATGTTTTGATTGATGTAATGGTAGAATGTAAATGTTTTGATTGATGTAATGGTAGAATGTAAATGTTTTGATTGATGTAATGGTAGAATGTAAATGTTTTGATTGATGTAATGGTAGAATGTAAATGTTTTGATTGATGTAATGGTAGAATGTAAATGTTTTGATTGATGTAATGGTAGAATGTAAATGTTTTGATTGATGTAATGGTAGAATGTAAATGTTTTGATTGATGTAATGGTAGAATGTAAATGTTTTGATTGATGTAATGGTAGAATGTAAATGTTTTGATTGATGTAATGGTAGAATGTAAATGTTTTGATTGATGTAATGGTAGAATGTAAATGTTTTGATTGATGTAATGGTAGAATGTAAATGTTTTGATTGATGTAATGGTAGAATGTAAATGTTTTGATTGATGTAATGGTAGAATGTAAATGTTTTGATTGATGTAATGGTAGAATGTAAATGTTTTGATTGATGTAATGGTAGAATGTAAATGTTTTGATTGATGTAATGGTAGAATGTAAATGTTTTGATTGATGTAATGGTAGAATGTAAATGTTTTGATTGATGTAATGGTAGAATGTAAATGTTTTGATTGATGTAATGGTAGAATGTAAATGTTTTGATTGATGTAATGGTAGAATGTAAATGTTTTGATTGATGTAATGGTAGAATGTAAATGTTTTGATTGATGTAATGGTAGAATGTAAATGTTTTGATTGATGTAATGGTAGAATGTAAATGTTTTGATTGATGTAATGGTAGAATGTAAATGTTTTGATTGATGTAATGGTAGAATGTAAATGTTTTGATTGATGTAATGGTAGAATGTAAATGTTTTGATTGATGTAATGGTAGAATGTAAATGTTTTGATTGATGTAATGGTAGAATGTAAATGTTTTGATTGATGTAATGGTAGAATGTAAATGTTTTGATTGATGTAATGGTAGAATGTAAATGTTTTGATTGATGTAATGGTAGAATGTAAATGTTTTGATTGATGTAATGGTAGAATGTAAATGTTTTGATTGATGTAATGGTAGAATGTAAATGTTTTGATTGATGTAATGGTAGAATGTAAATGTTTTGATTGATGTAATGGTAGAATGTAAATGTTTTGATTGATGTAATGGTAGAATGTAAATGTTTTGATTGATGTAATGGTAGAATGTAAATGTTTTGATTGATGTAATGGTAGAATGTAAATGTTTTGATTGATGTAATGGTAGAATGTAAATGTTTTGATTGATGTAATGGTAGAATGTAAATGTTTTGATTGATGTAATGGTAGAATGTAAATGTTTTGATTGATGTAATGGTAGAATGTAAATGTTTTGATTGATGTAATGGTAGAATGTAAATGTTTTGATTGATGTAATGGTAGAATGTAAATGTTTTGATTGATGTAATGGTAGAATGTAAATGTTTTGATTGATGTAATGGTAGAATGTAAATGTTTTGATTGATGTAATGGTAGAATGTAAATGTTTTGATTGATGTAATGGTAGAATGTAAATGTTTTGATTGATGTAATGGTAGAATGTAAATGTTTTGATTGATGTAATGGTAGAATGTAAATGTTTTGATTGATGTAATGGTAGAATGTAAATGTTTTGATTGATGTAATGGTAGAATGTAAATGTTTTGATTGATGTAATGGTAGAATGTAAATGTTTTGATTGATGTAATGGTAGAATGTAAATGTTTTGATTGATGTAATGGTAGAATGTAAATGTTTTGATTGATGTAATGGTAGAATGTAAATGTTTTGATTGATGTAATGGTAGAATGTAAATGTTTTGATTGATGTAATGGTAGAATGTAAATGTTTTGATTGATGTAATGGTAGAATGTAAATGTTTTGATTGATGTAATGGTAGAATGTAAATGTTTTGATTGATGTAATGGTAGAATGTAAATGTTTTGATTGATGTAATGGTAGAATGTAAATGTTTTGATTGATGTAATGGTAGAATGTAAATGTTTTGATTGATGTAATGGTAGAATGTAAATGTTTTGATTGATGTAATGGTAGAATGTAAATGTTTTGATTGATGTAATGGTAGAATGTAAATGTTTTGATTGATGTAATGGTAGAATGTAAATGTTTTGATTGATGTAATGGTAGAATGTAAATGTTTTGATTGATGTAATGGTAGAATGTAAATGTTTTGATTGATGTAATGGTAGAATGTAAATGTTTTGATTGATGTAATGGTAGAATGTAAATGTTTTGATTGATGTAATGGTAGAATGTAAATGTTTTGATTGATGTAATGGTAGAATGTAAATGTTTTGATTGATGTAATGGTAGAATGTAAATGTTTTGATTGATGTAATGGTAGAATGTAAATGTTTTGATTGATGTAATGGTAGAATGTAAATGTTTTGATTGATGTAATGGTAGAATGTAAATGTTTTGATTGATGTAATGGTAGAATGTAAATGTTTTGATTGATGTAATGGTAGAATGTAAATGTTTTGATTGATGTAATGGTAGAATGTAAATGTTTTGATTGATGTAATGGTAGAATGTAAATGTTTTGATTGATGTAATGGTAGAATGTAAATGTTTTGATTGATGTAATGGTAGAATGTAAATGTTTTGATTGATGTAATGGTAGAATGTAAATGTTTTGATTGATGTAATGGTAGAATGTAAATGTTTTGATTGATGTAATGGTAGAATGTAAATGTTTTGATTGATGTAATGGTAGAATGTAAATGTTTTGATTGATGTAATGGTAGAATGTAAATGTTTTGATTGATGTAATGGTAGAATGTAAATGTTTTGATTGATGTAATGGTAGAATGTAAATGTTTTGATTGATGTAATGGTAGAATGTAAATGTTTTGATTGATGTAATGGTAGAATGTAAATGTTTTGATTGATGTAATGGTAGAATGTAAATGTTTTGATTGATGTAATGGTAGAATGTAAATGTTTTGATTGATGTAATGGTAGAATGTAAATGTTTTGATTGATGTAATGGTAGAATGTAAATGTTTTGATTGATGTAATGGTAGAATGTAAATGTTTTGATTGATGTAATGGTAGAATGTAAATGTTTTGATTGATGTAATGGTAGAATGTAAATGTTTTGATTGATGTAATGGTAGAATGTAAATGTTTTGATTGATGTAATGGTAGAATGTAAATGTTTTGATTGATGTAATGGTAGAATGTAAATGTTTTGATTGATGTAATGGTAGAATGTAAATGTTTTGATTGATGTAATGGTAGAATGTAAATGTTTTGATTGATGTAATGGTAGAATGTAAATGTTTTGATTGATGTAATGGTAGAATGTAAATGTTTTGATTGATGTAATGGTAGAATGTAAATGTTTTGATTGATGTAATGGTAGAATGTAAATGTTT